TCCCTTCCTCTTGAGACAAAGTCTCACTATGTAGTCCGGGCTGGCTGCCAACTCAGTGACTCTCCTGAGCGCTAGGACTACAGACATGCGCCACCACGCCTGGCTTTGAAATATGTTCAGAGTTCAACTCTATTCATACACAACGTAATTCAACACACATTTATTAAATCACAAGCTATGTGCAAGCGACCTAAGTTCATCTTTTCAACAATTTATATCTCCCTCCCTTTCTTTCAGGGCTTTGATCTCTAGTAAGTAAATTTAACACTGCCTCCCATCTTGGCCCTGCCACATATTGAGCTATCAGCATTTTATTATCATTTGCATCTGGGAAAGATGACTGCTAAGAAAAGAAACCATGATCAGAGATTAATAGAGGATATCTTTGCTTTGAAATGTATCACTTTTGAGGTTCTTTCACACGCATTTATTTAGTTCTAGGTCACCTAAATTTGTTCCTTGATACCGGTACCATGACTAATTAGAACAGCAACTCCTTTTCAGCAGTGTTTATGTATACTCATTTGATCTAAGCTGCAAATTTTTCATTTATTAAGAAAGTAGAATTAAAATCAATGCTTTCCTAGCAACCAGATGGACTGAAAGATGGAAAAGCTCCTGTCCTCTTCCTATGTAAATTCTCAGTACCTCTTGGAAGTCATCCGTTCCTGAAAAAACACTGGGACCTTTACTGACTCTTCCCCCTCGGTCTTTTCGTTTGATTTTCTTCGGCAAACCGCGTCCACGACCAATATTAAAACTTTTAACCCTCTGTTCAGTACCTAAAAAATTAAAATGTACTTCAAATATAGAAAAGCATCATACCTATCAATGTATTTGCTCACAGGGAAGAGCGTACTTTTAATAGTCTAGACAGTACCCCATCCTTTCCCACCCCTTAGGTGAGCTGAGTCTTCACATTTCATCTCCTGCTACTGCTCCTTGTTCCTTTGTTTTTTAAGGGATGCTAACAACACAGGAGGCAAGGAACGAGGATACAGATGGTGAGAGAAGCCAACTGTAGTTTTTTCCTTCTAGTCTTCCTTAGGATACGATAAGAAGTTGTTAAGAAAATGAAGCACTATATTCATATTTAAGAAGACTGCAGAGATGCTGTACTGGATATTGGTAGCAAACTAGATTACAGTTGAAAATTTTAAGTAGATTATATATGCATATTTATATATCTGTAATCTCCAAGTAAAAAATATAGTGATTTTATGTTTTGCAAAATTTAGAATTTAAAAGTATCTAAAATGGTACGCCATGCTCACTTCAGCAGCACATATACTAAAATGATACCACAGTTTTAAAAAAATCTGTCAGGCTCTCATTTCACCAGTCATTCTAAATTAGTAAGTTTTCTAACAACCTTAAGATCTACAAAACAATCAATAAATAAAGGAACCAAAGAAATATTTTTAGCTCAAAGAATAATAAAGCACATTGTTGGTTGAAATTTGCATTTTGAACACTTTAGGGAAGTATAGCTATAAATTATTACACCTCCTTTATGGATATCTACTTGGTATATGGATCAAAACATTTTTCAAATATTGAACTATGTCTTTTGACTCTTTGGACTCGAACTCAGGACTTTGTACTTGCCAGGCAGGTATTTGTGCTGCTCAGTTGTATCTCTGGCCCTGTCTTTTGACTCTTCAAATCTACTTTTCATAACTTACTCTGTTTCGTCTTTTTGAGACAGGGTCTCACTATGCAGTTCAGGCTGGCCTTGAGCTCACTTTATAGCCCAGGGTGGTCTTAAACTCACAACAATCCTCCTGCCCCAGCCTCTGGAGTGCCAGGATTATAGGCGTGTGCCACCACACCCGGCCATAACTTACTCTTAAGAAAAAACATTTGTCAAGATGTTCTGAGATATGTATAAATATGCTTATTGCAGGATCAGTCACAGAGCTGGAAAAAGACCCCAAATGAGTACAATTTAAATCCCAATTAATGACTGTACTACAAACAAAGCTACCAATTTAAGAGATTACAATATGTTAAGTTGAATAGAAAGTAGGCACTATTTATTCCTGGTTAAAAAAAAAAAGTAGTACTAATATCTAAGCTAAAAGCTTCTTGTTAACTTTAGTACAATTGAGATACAATTTATAGTTAGAGGCAAAAAAATTGTTTTTTGTTGAAAATACTGGTCAGAAAACTTTTTAAGTTTTTGGAAAAATGTAATTATCATCTCCATGGTAGGGATTCAAATTATTTTCGTTTTATCTTTGATTACTGCCAAGTTATTTCCTACACAGGAAGCTTCCTTCAGTAGATGATTTATCACTTTCATAATTCAAAGGCAATAAAAAAAAAATCAAAAATTAAAAAGTGATAGTTATTTTAAAGGACAAACAAGGAAAAGCTGGAGAGGAAAAAACCCCATGTGAAAGGAATGACCAAGTCCTCTTTACATTATCCATTCTCCAAGTGGGATATCACAGACATTATTATGAATAGATGCCAGGGACAAATTTTCCCATTACAATTGCACAGATATAAATTATTTTCCCTTTACTTCACTTAAGCCTACATTCATAGTCTTTAAAGGAATTTGGCTAGCAAATAAAAAATAAAGCCATAGAAATTAACCAAATTTACTCATACTTGGCTCCTTTTTTCAAAGATAAGGTGTGGCAGCTCACTACCTCAAGTTTATCTTGTTCCAGTTTTCTTGAAGCACAGTATCAACAGGCCATGATTTAAGTTAAGTTGAGCTTTTATCTGACGCATGGTTTCTTCACTGTGTCACTAGGTGGCAACTTGCACTGGTCTCTGCAAGAACCATGTGCCTCAACATGGCAGATAAATAGGTGATCCCTGCAGTAACTTTTTTGGATTATGTTCTTTCAAACCCTAAAGGATGTCCACAGCCCTACGCACATTTGCATAGCAAAGATGATTATTTTAAAGCCTAATAAAAGAATAGCTTCCCAGTAATCTGTCTTTATTGGTCCTAAAATAGAATGTAATAGAGTAACAGAGATAACTGTATACTGATACCATACAGTGGAGAAAAAATGCAATAAAGTTTTCTTATTTTTCTGTACTTTTAAAATATTAGAATCCATAATTGAAATATTAGGGTATCATGCCTACTGAAAAATATGTATATTTGATCGTCAAGGTCTATAAAATAAAGGAAAGTGAATTTAGATACCACAAGAATTAGCTCATCTTGAGAAAGGGCTAAGAACTTTTTAAGTTTTTATACTTGTATCTACCCATTCTAATAAAGTCTTCATATTTAAAACAGACTGTAAGTTCAAACTTACCTTGCTGAGTTCCTTTTATTCTCTGTTTTTTCCCTGATTCTTTGGAAAATGATGACCCTAAAGAACTATTTGAGGTTTCTTTAGCTTGCCTGTAATGTTTCAGGTGATTGGCAAAATCTTCCTCTGTCTCATGACCATAGTTACCGAAGTTCTCATCACTGTAGTTACCAAAGTTATCATCACTGTAGGTACTGTACTCATCGTAGTCTTTACTTTTAAATTTTTTGTTATGCTGACCCTTCTTGGATGTCATGTAGCTTCCTGATATATGTCCATGCTAAATGAAAATGGAAGATCATTAATAGGATTTTTCAATTATATACATCAATTGATAGTAACACAGAATATCTTTGTCCCCCAAAAAAGAGAAAAGATAGTTATTAGTTCTGAATTTGCATTAGTACTTACAAATAATGTACTTTAACACTAAGGTCAAAAGGCTAACTGCTACTCTATTATTAAACATTAGTCATTAGCTTTCTGTTTTCCAGTTTCTATGTCTCAGTGTCCATATGCATAGGGGTATTTAAAAATCCACACCACCATACATAAATTGCTTCTCCAAAAAAATGAAAAGGCCCTTTTTAAAAATAAGGAAGAGCTAGTAAAACAATTAGGAGGAGTGTGGGAAAATATGAATATTTCCTCTTAATTTTGAAAAACCCTCAGGTGACACTATATTTAATAAAGACTGTGTGAAAATTCTGTAAAAAGATAATGCTAGTATCTAGGGTCTAATAGAAAAAAAACAGAGCTTCCCCCAATAGTGGAAAACATCTAGTGAATAAATTACTCATTAGAGTGTTTATTATGATAAACATCAATTTTACTGCTTCCTTACTAAGGTATAGAACAACAAAAATACAATTTAGTCCTAAGAGTTTATTTAATGATAGTGTTCAAGTCTGTTCCTTTCACTGAAGTACTTTAATTGGTTTTATCACATCCTGTTAATCTTTTTAATAAAGCAAGAAAAAATTGGGGCTGGGGATTTAGCTCAGCAGTACAGTGCCTGCCTGGCAAGCACAAGGTCGTGAGTTTGAGTCCCCGTACCGGAGAAAAACCAAAAAAAAAAAAAAAAAAGCAAGAAAAAATTATACCTAATTGCAATTTGAGGATCTAGAAAAACTCAAACCATGCCTCGTCATTAGCTTATGGCATTTTAAATGCCATACATATTCTAATATTTACCTAACTAGATAAAATTATGAACTAGAGGATAATGCTTATCAAATTTTTAAGACAATTTGATGATACTTCATTTAGCTTTGCAAATGATTATGAAGAAGGCAACAGAGTTAGAATATAGAACTCTCACAATTATTTGGTTTGTAACTCACAAGAGATTAGTCACATCAAAGTAGAAGCAAGAACAAAGCTCTCATAGACAAGAATGGTGGCATCATTACTATCCTACCACAAAATAACATTTATAGATTTAAGAAAGATATTTTGTTTTGAATTGTTTTCTTTTCTCCTTCTCTTTTTGCCTTTGATTAAACCTAGGGCCTTAAACATACTAGCCAAAAGTGCTCTACCACTGGCCTAGCCCCTTAAACTTGTTTTCTATTTAAAACATTTCAAATAATACTTGCTTTTAAAAGGGTTGATGTCACCTATCTTCAAAATTCAGTACTACCTCATTTCTTAATCATGCTGGATACAGTGCTATGATGTATTATGAATTCAATGTCCTCCTAAAATTCGTATTTTACTCTAACCCGAGTACCACAGAATGTGACTACATTTGGAGACTGAGCCTTTACTGAGAAGATTAAATTAAATGAGGCTGTCAGAGAAGACTCTAACCCAATTTCATCAGCATCCTTCTAAGAAGAGGAAACGTGGACAAAGGTACCAGAGGTTCTTGTGTGCTGAGGGACAACCACGAGGACAAAGCAGTGAGAAGGCAGCCATCTAGAAACCGAGGGCAGAGGCCTACAACAGGTCATTCCCTCACAGTCCTCAGAGAAAACTACCCTGCTGGCTCCTCATTTTGGACTTCTAACCTTCAAACCGTGAAAAAATAAATTTCTGTTGTTTGAACTACCTAGTCTGTGACGTAAACAGCAATCAGAGAAAACTAATACTTAATGTATTCTTACTTTCAAAGACTTAGAACTTGTAAGACATCTGGCAAATATATGCTCCTATGACAAACATAAACACATTTTCAAAATACCAGCAAGCAAAAAAAAAAAAAACTTCATTAAAAATTTTATTTTTCCTGTTAAAAGTCAATGCCTCCAAACCACAAGAATATACCACTTCACACCCATTTCCCCACAAAATGGAAAATGCCAAGTGTTGGCAAGGAAGTGAAGAAGTTAAGAATTCTTATGCTGTCTTGATGGGGATGTAAGGTAGTGCACAGCCTCCATGGAAAATAGCGTCGTGGGTCCTCAGAGAGTGAAACACAGAGTCAGATGATCCAGCAATTCTACTCCTGACACATGTCTCAATGGACTGAAAGAAGGATTTAGAAAAGAATTCATACACCCATGTTAACAAGCAGCATTATTCACAAGAGCCAAAAGGTGGAAGCAACCCAGGTGTCCAGCAACAGAAGAATGGGTAAAATGTGGTATTTACATAATAAAATATCATTTAGCCTTTAAAAAAATGAAACTCTGCTATATGCTACAACGTGAATGAACCCTGAAAACATATTAAGTGAAATAATTCAAACACAAAAGGACAAATACAGTATGATTTCAAATATACAAGGTATCTAAAATAGCAAATTCACAGAAACAGAATAGTAGTTACCAAGGGCTAGGAGCAAAGCAAAAGAATGTGTTCATTGCTTAATGGATACAAAATTTCTATTTAGGATGATTCCACTCTGGTAATGGTTGAAGAACACTGTTAATATACATAATGTCACTAAGTTGTACTTACAAAGGTTAAAACAGTACCTTTTAAGTTATACATATATTGTATCACAATAAAAAGGCAATACCTGAGAAAATGGAATGTCATAATCCCTGTAGAAACCAGTTCTTTTCTTATGGGAACTTTCTGTATGCTCAACATCTGAATCAAGGCTGTAGTCTGAACTATCATCACTAGATGGAGAATTATGCTGACGGGGAGGGAAAATAAAACATGTTACATTTGCAAAAAGGAGGAAAACTAACTAGGACTAGATAAACTTGTTTCAGACAGAGGCACGAATCAGCAGATGAGATTATTCTAGACTCACACGTATTACTGAATAAATCTTGCTCCAAAGGCCACTACCACCTTCACTGAGGTTTTCTAGAGACCAGTATTTCTTACCCTCTGCTCAAGGACTCTACGGTAACCTTCTCCTCATCATCCTCCAAAACACTGAAGAAACTACAACGTAATCTATGTAAACAAAGCCTGTCTTGTACAAATAACAACAGTACATATTAGTACCTGCATAAGAATAGTATCTGGAAGTCTGCATACCAGGTATTATCTCTGGGAAATGAGATTAGAAGCCTCCTTTTTTAATATCTGTCACTACTGGATTTTTAAATAATTACCTTCATGTCACTTTAGTAATTATAAACCAATAGTACACAAATATACTGTACTTTGTGGCCAATTAAAACAAACAAAAGTCAATCCTGTTTCCTGGCCTGTGTGCCTCACACCTCTTAAACATGTCCATCCTGCACCCTGATGCTACCTCTGGTTAACCTTCTCAAAATGCCACTTATATAACAAGTCTTATCATCTGAACTGTTTCCCCAAAACTAGCACATCAGAATTAAACAGCTCTACTGGCTCAAAACTGGAGATTGAATCCCGGGCCTCTGCACTGAGCTCCATCCCCAGAACCACCCCCAGCCCCACCCCAGCCCCACGGCTTCTTTAGACAGGGTCTGGCTGTCACTAAGCAGCTAGGCTGGGCTTGAATTTGCAGGCCTGCTTCAGCCTCCCAGAGTGCTGTGATGGCATGGACCACTGCACCTGGCTATTACTACTTCCTTTACAATGAAAACATATCTAAACCTAGCTGATCTCTGTGAGGTCTTTTTCATACACAAAATATTCATGCAGAATCTGGTCTTGATGTTCAATCACTAGAAATAGTTTCTCGTTTCTCTTCTTTTGAAATCTCACTCTAAGCTAACTGCTGTCTCCCTTTACTTATTACATGTATATTATCTGAACTGCATAATTAGAATATTATAAAATGTCTCTATACTGTGAGTTAGCACTTTATTACATGGCATTTTGTTTGATAATTGTTTTATGCTTATGAATTATTTTAGCAACATTTTTTGAGGACAGAATTATGTACTAGTCTTTTATCCTTTAATCAATGTATTTATTATAACCCTGACCCATAAATTCTTATTATTACTGAAATATTTCAGGTTGGATGAAGAATCACAGACAAATAAATTACCAAATCTTAAAAGGAGGAAGTTTAATAAAGTTAACATGCAGTAAACAGGACTGAGGTCTAGTGACACTGTCCCCAAGTAAGAGGCATTGGTACCAGGACAGTCTTCCATACCTTCCCACCTGAGCTTGCTTCTAGATAGAAGGGAGGAAAGAAGATGCCACAGCTATATGAGAGGTGTAGGTTGCAAGTGAAAAAGAAGTACAGTGAACTTACTACAATGTCCTAATAGGTTTCTGGCAAAAGGTACACATTTCCTAGTGAAACAGATGACCAGGATGTAACCCTCTTCATTAACTACTCTGTAACTATAGTTGCTTTCTTATGCAAGGCCAAAGAAATGTGGTGGTGTATACTTTGAAGCAACAGGTGCAGTTTGAGAACTCAGGAGAAATGGATCCTCTCTTACTCCCAGTGAATAATTTGTACTTCCTGCACCTGGGCTGCAGGTCTTGGAGGAAATAGGAGGCATACAGATGCTTCATACAAAGTCTTTTTTCCTTTACATTTGTTACATAGGAAAGTTTATTAATTTCTTAATGTTCTGTAACCTTAGATAATAAAGTTTAACCACTGGAGGAAAGTTTCTTCACTTTCAGATGATACAGGATTCAGTTTTATTCCAGCACTTGTACAATTAGATTTTTATATTTAAATCTTTGATCTGGAATTTATACTGACAAAAGTAACTTCACTTTTATGCCTCTATTGTTATATAATTCCCTCAGCACTTGCTTACTTAAAATTTATTTATTTATTCATTCATTCACTCATTCATTCATTCATTCATTTTGCAGTGCTGGTGATCAAGCCCAGAGCCTTGTGCATGTTAGGCAAATAGTCTACCAATGAGCTGCATCCCCAGCCTGTATATCCACCTTTTCATACTGGTTGGAGATGCTCATATATTATAGACTCATATTTCTACATGTGTTGAGTTTTCTTCTCTGCTCCACTGGCCCATCCACTTTCTCCATGTACTGATAATTATTATTATTATTATTATTATTATTATT